GCAGACCACCTAGCGGAAGCCTCTGGGGACTTAAAGTCCCTAAAGCAGGTAAATATCCCCCCACTTCCTTCCTCTTCCCTCTGAGGTACACCACCTCCTCTCCTTTCTTCTCCCTACCCCCAACTCCCTTGCTTGCCGCTGCTGTTTCCTCCACTGTTCTGGGTGGGGAAGCTCCAGAGGCAGCTGGCCTGAGCTAGGGTTGGGTTCAGCCAAGGATGGGAACAGAAGCAACAGGGCAGCTGGAGAGTATTTCCCCCCACACAACCCTGCCTGGTCAAGGAGAGGGGAAAGCTGCCATTGTTCCCATCCCCAGCTGAGCCCTGCCCCCACACAGCAGGAAGGAAGGGCTCTGGTGCTTCCCAGTCCCTGGGGCAGCAGGGAAAGGCAGGCGGGAAGTGGGGGAGAGAGGCGGGAAGGTGGCATGCCTTTGAGCAGGAAGAGGAAGGGAGGGAGGATTTTCACCTGCTTTAGGGCCTTTAAAAAGTCCCTGGAGGCTCCCATGGCATTGTGCAAACTAAAAGAGGGGGTGCAGCGCTTTGTATGAATGAGTAAATTCTTGTGTTTTAATGCTGCCTCTAGGAGAGGAGTATAATGTTGTTAGAATAGAGCTGAGTGGAAGTCTTTGTACTGCTCTCAGCCATTAATTTGCTGTGTAATTGTGGAGCAAGACCTTTCATTTCGCTGTGCTTCACTTTCCTCCTTTGCAAAATTGAGACAATGACACTTTTTCTTTCCATTATTGAGTGTTTCAAGAGCTTCATGTAAGTGCTGAGTAAGTGTTTCTGGGTCTCTTCTCAGTGGGATGGAGAGTGCAAACCATTCACAAACATTCACTACAGTTTTCAGAGGAATTTTTCTTGAATTCACGCCCTTTTCTAATCACTTTCTGAAAATATCCCACAGCAGTGAAAGACACTGGCTGGCAGGACTATTCGTATACAGGGCATGTTTCACGTGAGGATTGCATAATGTTTGCAAGAGGTGAGTGTTAGTGGGAATCCAATTCTGATCCACTTGGGGACTAGGCCACGTGACCTTCATGGCCAGTTAAAAAAGTTTGAATTTCGCATTTTGAACAGTTTGCAAGCAAGAAACCGAAAGCTATTTTTATCTTAGGTAATGGTGGACAGCAAAGGTAAGAAGTTCTTTAACCCTTCTTTGTTCTTTTAGAGGAAGTAGTGGCATAAAGGGGCCTTAAGAGTTTCAGTTTTAGCCAAAGGAAGGTTTTCTTGGTCTCTTGTACAGGGACTTCTCTCTCTTCAGTTCCAACCACGTGGTGAGTGGCTGGGAGCAGTGAGCTCTAATGCAGTGGTTCTCAACCTTTTTTGTACCATTTGTAAACATTGATGGCTAGTCTTGACTCAGTGTCCCTCACTCACACTCCACTGCCCCCCATCCCCAGCCCCTATCCCCCCCTTGTGTGGGGCAGGGGGTAGGTATGTGGGATGGCGGGGCTCTGAGCTGCCCCTTGCAGTCTGGAACTCTGCCAGCCTGCAAGGGAAAAGCCACGGTTTCCCAGGTTTTTCATCTTTAAGGAAGAACCCATTTTTTAAGTTTGTTCATGACCCACTTTTGGGTTGTGATCCACGGATTGAGAAACACTTCTCTAATGCGCTTAGTATTTCCTTACAAACTAACCTCCCAGTGGCTTGCAGCACTAGGACATTTAGTTTTGCTTTTGTTTTGGAGGCTTCATTTGTTTTCCCTGAGAAGCTTTGCTCCAAGTCAAATTTGTTGTTGTTATTGCTTTGCTTTGCTTTTTGTTACATTGTCTTATATTAAACGAGAGTTGCCTTTTTGGTGAGATCTGTGCACTTCAGGTTAAAACCAAGTTAAAAGAAGTGAAATGACATTTAAAAAAATAAAGCTTTCATTATTTTTGTTGTTCATCAATATGTGACACCAAAAATGGCAGAGACACACTTTGGGCGTAATCTAGCATAACTCTTCATGCCTTGTTGCGTGTGCATACTTTGGCTTCTGATCCTGCACTGAATGTCAGTTATTAGACTGTAAGTCAGCCCCTGTTGTGTTTCACTGCCTAATAAGTAAGTATAAATTGTCACTATTGTTTTCAGAAAATAAACACTACACACATGCTAGCATTTATTTTATTTGTTCAGCCGATTTCATGGATGAAGCTCTCGCATCAGTACGTTAAGTAATAATTTAAATTACTTTGTTGCAGTAAGGAGCAGAGGGCGTCATTTGAAGATCACTTCAGGGAAATTTTTTTTTCTTGAAACAGAGAAGGATTGGGCAATAGGTGAAAACAAAATCACATGATCTTGAGTGGTCAAATGGAATGTGACTTCTAATGAGAGCAAAGTTATTGTTCCTTCTGAAAAGAGGAATCTGAAAAGAATCTGAGTAATGAGAAATAACCAATTGCAAGGAGAGATAAATCTCTAATCCAGTCTCCAAACTTGTTAAAATACAACTTTCATTTATTTGCAAAATTGAATGCCACATAATTATAGATCCTGGGCCTATTGACTTAAAGAAATAAGCATATAGCAAACATAAAAGACAGCTTGTTAAAGTGGATATACAATATGAAAATTCTTTGATTTTATAGGAAAAATGTACAGTAGGGCTGAAAGGCCTCAGGAGGCCATCTAATCCAACCCATTGCTCAAGGTAAAATCATTCTTGTCTAAACCATCTTAAACAAGTGTTGGTCTCACTTGTTCTTAAAAACTTTCAAGGATGGCAATTCCACAACCTCTCGGTAGCCTTTTCCAATGCTTAACCACCCTCAGATTGAGAAAGTTCTTTCTAGCATCCAACCTAAATTTCCTTTGCTGCAATTTAAGACCATTAGCAGCCATAACTCTACAACATGTTTTATGTTCACTTTCTGTAATAAGCATCTAAACACTTGGGCTTCACTAACATGACTGCCTGTGAAGAACATATTTGAAGCTTGAATGCTGCCATATGGTACTGAAAGCCGATTTCAACTTTAATCTCTCTTGGTAGTTTTGAAGCACCTGTCATTACAGTACAAAAGTGCTGAATGCATAGTATGGTAGTTAAGGTTCCTTGGGTGAATCTGATATCTTTTATTAGACCAACCCAAATAGTTGGAGAATAGTTATTAAGCAAGCTTTCGAGTTCAAAAACCCTTCGTCAGGCTAAGAAAGTTTCAGCAGTTGGTGTGTGCTCTTCCTAGATGGTATGGTAGTTTACATTCAGACAGGTTTGTCGGTAGAAAATGATATTGAATATTCTGTTCTTTTCCTCTCCCAGGTACTAATAAAGTTGGCTGATCAGTATCATTTTGCATGCATATGTGTTCACTAATTTGTTGCCTTCATTGATGGCTGGAAAGCTATTCAAAGTAGTTGGGTTTTGTAGTGTATTCTGACCCTGGCTTGGCTGGCTTTGGCTCAGTCTTACCTCCTTTGGAAGCTTATTCTAGTCAGGCACCTTCAAATGGTAGTCTATACAATTCCCTCATTAACACTATTACATATCCCATCCAATCAGGGAACAAAACTACCACCATGTAACTAGAAGTAGCTAACCACTGCTTAGTGAATGTTTGAGCTTCATTGTCATCCATCTCTCAGCTTTCAGTACAAGCGGAAATGCATTCAAAACAAGAAAAAGTGGCAAATCAATGGCTCTTTATGGCCTCAAAAGGACTCTCTGCTTTTATTTATGCCATCCTGGGCATTTTGCCTTGTGATCATTGACAATAGACCTCGTCAAAGATTCAACAACAGAAAGAAAATCAATCAGGAAAGCTGTGTCATTTGCCTGGTGGCTGGTACTGCACTGTCCTTTGACTTCACAGTCAGAGCTCTGGGGCTTTTCACTGTTTCAGCGGGTGCCCTTATGTTGCACATAATTTATAAGTGCAAATATGGGTCCTATGACAGTTTGTGTCTCATGGGCAAACGAATGAATTCTTACTACAGCTTCAGTGAGGGAGTCCTGGCTTTTTGCCAAGTGTGGACTGCAGCTTGAACAGCAACTTGGATTATATGGGAAATGGGCAAGCTAACTGCAAATGGAAAACATGACAGGACCAGTAACTCCTGATTGACTGGTTTTTCCTTAGGAACTGGGAAGGATTGTCTTGAAGTTATATCAGTCTATCAGGAGACAGCAGTAAGTTATGTGACATTCCTTTGAACACTAGCTATTATGACCATAGGGGTTGGTCAAGCTCAGGACAAATCTCTCAAGAGCTGAGTGTCATTTTCTTGCAGCTTTTCTTTGCTAAATATGATTTGTGGAACATTGGCTGAAAGCAGACAAATATTTGCATTATGACCTGCAAAATCAGTTGGAAAAACCAGAGATGTTGGCAACATTTGTCTCAATTTAGCAATAGTATGGGCAGAGGATGAATAAAATATCACCCAACTGAATTAGTCAGGGAAATCATTTCTGTGCTTCATGGCTTCCTTTGACAGATATCCTCACAATCATTCCACAGAGGGACTCCCTCTGCACAGACAGAGCTCAGTACGAAAGTTAAGGCAATTCCAGGACTTGTGGTTTCTGGGGGCTGGAGGGGTTAATGTGTGAGGCAGGTGTGGCTCCTTCTACAAATGTCCATGCCAGAACTCCAAGCCTAGAGAGTGGAAGAGAAAGCACAGGCCATGGAGGCAGCTGATGCCCCTCTTGATAGGGAAGAGGGTGTCCGTGTTTGGAGGACATTATCCATGTGTACATCCTACCCTGATGTGGAGCACACAGATCCCCCCCAAGCACACACAGCTTTACGGCTCTGGCAAAGCTCCTGAAATGTGCATAGATCTTAAGGGGCAATCAGGTTCTGGGACCTGACCTGCCTACTCTTCTCACAAGAGGAGCAACTACCTCCCCGTGAAGGGAATGGTCTTGGGGCTTCTGCTCCACAAAGATGAGAGGTGACTCCTCCTCAGCCTGTTGGGCTTTTTGTTTGTCCATGTTCAGCATCCCCGGGTGCAAACCTTGTTTGTAAGTCCAGATCAGTCACCTGTTCTCTTTGTTTCTTTTTGCCTCTCCAGGAAGGAAGATGTCTCTATGTGATCCTCCTGATGGCTTTGTACTGGTGCACGGAGGCGCTGCCATTGGCTGTGACTGCTCTGCTGCCAATCATCCTGTTTCCATTTCTGGGCATTCTCCCTTCCAACAAAGTTTGCCCACAGTATTTTTTAGACACCAACTTCCTCTTCCTCAGTGGCCTCATCATGGCGGCTGCCATCGAGGAGTGGAACCTGCATCGCAGGATTGCCCTGAAGGTCCTCATGCTAGTGGGAGTCCAACCAGCCAGGTAACTTTTGCAAAACACTTGTTATTACTTCATGTCTTATTTCTCCAGGCTCCAACCCTAGTTGTTTTAAAGCATGAGCTGAACCTCGGAGTAATCAAGAGAACATGGCACCCAAAGTCAACATATCAGCTTGTAGGCTGTAGTAAAAGCACCACATGTCTACCCACTGTTGGCTTAAACACACACTCCCTTTTCAGGGCTCCCTATTTTTATTCATTTAGGTTGTTGCAGTCCTTTTGCTGGCTAGTAATGAAGAATGAAGAAGGGGAGATGAAATTAAATAACTGCTTCAGCCTTGTTTGAATTACATTAACACTTAATCCACTTGTACATGCTCCCACATATTATAGGATAACCACTGACAGCTTTGTACCTGTTCATTTTATGAGATCATGCCATGTGATTTTTCTCAGCTGGAACATAAAATAGACCTTACAGAACTTAGTGTTAAACTGAATTTTTCTCCCTTCCAGACTTATTTTAGGAATGATGCTGACAACTTCTTTCCTGTCCATGTGGTTAAGTAATACAGCCTCCACTGCTATGATGCTCCCAATTGCCATTGCTATTCTGAAGAGTCTCTTTGGAGAGAAAGAAGTATCTAGAGATCTCAACAAGGAAAATGAAGAAAACCAAGGTAACTCAGTCAGAGAACAGTAATGCAAACAGCAGGTACTAACTCGATGTGCAGTAACCATAGCCATACAGTAAATGTGCAGTAGCACTGGCACACGCCTTTTTAGTGACGCTAATGTGCAGTAGACTAATTCTACTGCGCATTAGCATGACTTTTGCTGTGATGTGCCAATGTGCAGTAGAATTAGTCTACTGTGCATTTAGCGTCTTGTGTAGACATGTCCAAAATGTTCAATCAGGTTTCTCTCTAATCAGCAAAAGAAAAATATATCTTCCACAACAGCTTATTTTTGCAAATAATTTACATGGAGGTAATTTTTCTGGCAAGCAATCATGAAAAACCACAAAACAGAAACAAAGCCCCCCTGCAACTGTTAATGCTAGGGAGGGCAATAGCTGCTTCTCTCTCTTTTTTTGCTTTTCCTAATTGCCTTTGTAAGTGCTATTTGCGTTTCTGCAGTTCACAAGAGGATGGGTTTTTGGATGCTGCTGATTTCTGAAACATAGAAAAAACAAGTCCTCAGAAGAATTCCGGCATATGCATGTTCTAAACAGTGATGCAATTAATCAGTTGCAATCAATGGATAGCTTTCAAGAGATATTTTAAATCCAGGCCATTTCATCATTTTCACTTTCTGAATTTTTAACTATGAATGTCTTTAAGCTATTAACATTGTTCTTCCTGACTCAGTCATTCTTTTTTATTTTTAGTAGTAGTTCATTAATGAGTTTGTTCTTTAACTGTCTTTAACCCTGTTCTTAGAGATTGCTGTATTAGCATAACTCATAAATTAGAGCCGCAGGATCACCTAAGACCAGGAGCTCACTGTACAAATATAAAATAATATGCTATTCCTGGTCTGAAAATGGGGAGGGGAAAGAGATATAACAGAGTGAACAGAGCAGTGGTTCCCAAACATCATGCAAGTTGCATGATTTTCATTTTATTTTGAAGCTGAGGCTTGCAAGGGAAGGGGAAGAGAAGGTTACAACAGAAATACAAAACAAAATCGCCTTGTATTTCTGATGAGGTGATAGCTAGAAATTAGCAACAGTGGAGCTGCTATGAGTCACGTGTGTGCAGTAGGACAGACCTGTCTGTTTCTCTAATCCTCAGTGTATTTAGGAAATAGAACGGAGCGATGATCTGCATGATGGGCACTGAGTTTCTTCAGTGGCCTCTCAAACTTGAAGCAATATTCAGTCAAGAATAATGATTTTGATTTGAGATCTAGATGATAAGAAGCATGGATCAGATTTTCACAGAGGTTTACCAGTTCCTGAACCTGGTCTGAATCCAGGATTGATTGTGCTTTGAGGCTTTGGTTTTACTGATAATATTTTGCTCGGATGTGATAAAACCTGGTATAACGTAAGGGGACATTTGGAAAGAACTTCACTCAATTTATGCATCAAAGGAATAATCAAATACATTGTGCAAAATCAGTTAAGTAAGAAACTTTGTAAAATGGGTTCTAGCTTTGAGCAAGCTTTAAGAATAACATCTGATGACATCTATGAGTCTCCCTGAGTACATTTTAAATACACACACAGAGGTCTGAAATGTGTGTGTGTGTATTTACATATATATAAAATCAGACCTGTGCATGAGTATTAGAGAGAGAGCATCAGGGATTTAGTTTAAATTAAAAGTATGAGTATTTAGTTAAAGTTAAAAGTATGAGCAAAGCTGCTATAGTCTAAACATTTCCATATGTGATTCCTTAAACATTATACAAATTCTTCTGAAAAATCAAATCCATTTAAAAGGTACAGTTCTTTAATATATTTTCAGCTATTAGTTTTTCTTCTGTGAACTACACTCATTTTCTAGCTGCTTGATCACTAGTTAAGTGTTTTTAAAATGTACTCAAACAGATTTGTACATAGATATCATCAGAGATGTTTCTTAAATTTTGCCCCAAAATAGAACATATTTTGGAAATACTCTTACTTATCTGATATATATAATTTATTTCAGACCTGTGTATGTAATAGAAACAGAGCGAGTGTGTCAGGGATTTAATTCCTGAAGTATGAGCAAAGCTGTTATATTCTAAAAAAAATCCACACATATATGTATTTGAAAGTGAAAGGAATAGTCCTAAACCAGGAAAATTTTATTCCTGTGCTTAAATTTCCTCATGTAAGAATATGTAGATATATAAATGCTTTGAGGATTGGGGCTGTAGATTGTTAAGGAGACAAAACAGTAGATACATTTATAGTAGATACAACAGTGGTAGGTAAAATTCAATGAACTGGGCTGATAATAAGTGATTGGAGCTATGAGATCATAGAAACTCAAAGGAATAATTAGGGATTGATACTTTTGGCTCTGGATAACTGTCCTCCCATGAAATATCCAACTACTAGTTTTCAAAATTGGTTAGGCTTTCCTATGACCTCTATAGTTTTCTCTTTTGACTCTAAGTACCTCAGGAACCACTTCATTTTAAAACTTTTTATAACCTGGCACTTCTAGTCCTGAATTCATTTCATGTGATGGCTGCATGATAACCTGCAGAGCAATGTCATAGTGAATGTATCCTGTAACTTTGATCACTTCACTGGCTCTGTGCCCACTAATCCATCTCCGCCAACTGCTTATTCTTTTAAGCAGCTTTTAGCAACCACTGTTTACTTCAAAAAGTTGCTTTTGTGCAACAACTGGTATGGAAGAGATTAAGGGGACCTGGCTGTAGGTGGATCCTGCAGAACCCCAGGAGGAGCAAAGTTGGGGCTGGAAGAACAGCACAGGTGTGGGGCAAAAATGATGTTGGACTTGTGGGACAGGACTGATCTGGGTGTTGCAAAGCAGGATTACCATATTTACTTGAAGAGAAGACAACTCCCAATAATTAAACTCTATATGTGGAAAATTTATAAATGTGTTATTCTTTAATTGTAGAATTAATAATTGTAGTTTTGCCTTGAATTTGTCCTCTTCCCACTGCTACAGCAGGGCAAGTAAATCTGAGGGGTCAGGTAGTCCCTTTGCCTTCTGCCCCCCAACTTCTTCTCTCTGCTGTCCCTGAGCACATGGAAGTGAGAAGCAAATTTGAAAACACTGACCTAGAAATAAACATACCTGTAGGAATTTGCATATAGGGAAATCGGTACAGGTACCCATACACTTAGCTCATCCAGAATTGATGCATTTATCTCTTTTGAAACTGCTGCAAGTTTTACTACAGGTACTCCATAAACACACTTTTAAGTAGCACATCTGTATTTACTTGTATATAACACAATTAAAAACAAATTGTCTTGGGCCAAATCAGTTCCGAATTCCATTGATTGAGCAGAGCTCAATCATTCAAGCCTGTGTAGTGCTACCACCGACAAGTATCTTACCTCCCGCCTCTTCAGCCTGGGGCTTCAGGGTACTCTCAGATCTGTGGCAGACGATACATCCTACATCCTCCAAGCCCAGATGCCTTGGAGTTCAGATGCCCCCAAGTCTTATGCAAAAGGCAGAATGAGCAAACTAAAGGAAAAACCCAAGGGGCTTTCCCCCTATCACCATAAACTGTGTGGCTGAGATCCTCCCATTGGGAAGCTTTAGTAGACTCTCACAGGAGTCAGTCTGCCCACACTACAAGGGGCAGACCTACATCCTCAGCTACACTGAATCATTCAAGGCTGAGAAGAAGGGCATCTCCCCTGCCAGGTAAGTAAAACCACCAGGGCCAAAACCATCATTATGGTACCTCCTCTGCATGCATTACCTCAGTCCAAAGTCAGAAGGCTTATAGCTTACCAAGTGATTCATTGGGCTGGGTCCCAGCAGAGACCACAGTGTTTCAAGCCATGGTGACCCTGTAATTCAGCATTACTCAGTGGCCACATCTACATGAGACGCTACTGCACAGTAGTAACAAGCTATTGCGCAGTCAGCACCACCTAAAAGCCATTCAGTGATGCTATTGCGCAGTAACTCTGGTTACTGCGCAGTCATTTAGTACTGTGTATGCAAGTACTAAATGACTATGCAGTAATAACTGCTCACTTAGCATCTCATGTAGATGTGGTCAGTATGCGTGTGTCCTCCAGATACCCTCCCCCCTGCACAAAGGATCCATGTCCTAATTAGCGCCCCCAGTTATGACTGGAACTACATGTTCTTGTCCTTAGTCCTGGGATCCCACAAAAATTTATGTGCAGATGAAGTGCAGGGCAACCTGGTCTGGCCACCTCATGGGGGGTGGGGCCACACTAATCATATGTGCCAGGCTAAAAGTCAAGAGTGAACTGTTTGGGGCCCCTTTTGGTGATGTTTGCCAGACATTTAAGGCTGGTGAAGGAACAGGAATCATTGGAAATGGGAAAGAAATGTACAGGTCCGCTATGGAAGTGAAGAAGAAGTAAAAATATACTCTGTGGTGACTTACCATAAATTGTAAAAGAGAGCTGTAGTCAAGGGGCACTGCTATATATTTCTTAGTCAGGTGGGCTGCAGTAGTCCTGTGATTGGCCTTTTTTGTTTTTTGAATGATTCAAATGGATTCAGAAGGCCAATGTGGTGCCTATCTTCAAGAAAGGGAGGAAAGTGGATCCGGCTAACTATAGGCCCATCAGCCTGACTTCTATCCCGGGGAAGATCTTAGAAAAGTTTATTAAAGAGGCCATCCTTAATGGACTGGCCGACGCCAACATCTTAAGGGATAGCCAGCACGGGTTTGTTGCGGGTAGGTCTTGCTTGACCAATCTCATTTCCTTCTACGACCAGGTGACCTATCACCTGGACAAGGGAGAAGAGATTGATGTCATATATCCTGACTTCAAAAAAGCCTTCGAT